CATCGAATAGAACCGAAACAAAGGAAATGCCTTCGATGGTGTGAGATACAAGTTGAACAAGCGAATGCAGTGCGCGATGTTCGGCTTGTAGGGCAGTCTCTTCCTGTTTCGTGGAGACCCGAGTCAGAGCCTCTGGGCCGCTCAGCCCTTCGATAAAGTTTTTGTTAGTCTTGAAGAATTCTTGCAGAGCAGTCAAGTCGCGCTGAACAGCTTGCAGCTTGGCAGAAGAAACTGATGAAACGATGGTCTCCGTGCCAATGGGCGGCGTCTCGGACTTTTCGAGCTTGGCAATCTCTTTCTTCCAAATAGAGCGTAATAATCTCGAGATGTAGAGCGCGATGCCCGCATGCCGCGGTGAAGGGAGGACGGTGTCGATGGCAGGTGTGGAACTGTCCGCCACGGCATTTTCGTTCATCATAGGCTTGCCCCCGTGGTCAATCAAGACCTTGCGTGCAAACTCCAAGACATGTGGATCATTTATTTGGGTGAGTCTAGAATCACTAGACACCTCCACTCCTTGACCGCAAGCGACGGCCAGAGCCGTAGCAACGGTCTCGCTCCGGCCATAAATGCGGATGAAAGTTTTGACCATACCCTCCAATCCGTCACCGCCTTCTCCACCGTTTCGAACCAATGCAGCAAAAACATCGACGAGACGCCGTCTGCGAATGATATGAATACCATTGTTGGTAAGAATGGCGATTTCGGCCACAGGTTCGTCATACTGAATAGCCAGTTCATTACCGAACCCACTGAAAGCCATGGCGGCCTCGGTGGGTGGGGAGCAGACCCCGACATCTTCCGCTCTGCTACCCAATGATACCCAGACTGCTGTCTCACCAGCCTTGGGACTAACAGTCTCTTGAGCGCGAGCGACTCGTCCAGAGTCGGGAGCAGAAATGAAGAGAGAGTCCGATGCCGCCGAGTCCTTGGAGGTGAAGCAGAAAAAGTGGCCGGGTGGATACCGTACGGCAAACCGAGTGGGCTGAAGGGTGTGAACAGGGATTCTAGCTGCCACTGTAGGGTGATAGCGTGCCTGTCCTTGAAGACCTTGCGAGGCTGCCAATTGAGCCGAGGGAGCGGCGTCCAACGGAGGTGTTTTCACATGATGAGCTTGCATGCTTGTGGGAGCACTTGTGCCATTTGGTGCTGAGGCCCAGCTATAGGGACCAGTAGCACTGAGGTAGATCCGGTAGCCTGTCGCAGTAGTGGCCATCAGATGGTATCGGGACGCTTCCGCTGCAAGGATGGGGCTGATGGAAACAATGGGAACTTTGGGGTTGAGAGTTTCGTTGGACGCGATGATATGTCCGATATTGGCGTATATGTCTTGCCCTTTCTTTGTGATCGCAAGAGCTAGACTTCCGTCGGGCTTCATATGAAAGACCCTGATCGTGGACAGCGACGAGAGTGTGTAGAGCAGCTTCCTGGTGTCATCAATCTCCATTTGCGCGACGTGTTCATTTGGTTGGGTAAAGCTCAGCGAGGGAGCCAAGGCAGCGAGACGATTGCTAGTACGATTAACCTTTGAGCAGCGACCCTTGAACCACTTCTCCTCTTGCTGATAGACGAGCTCGTAGACATCATTGTCGGAGATTCCGCCGAAAAAGATGCGCCCAGTCGAATCGGATGAGGCCACTTGATCGATCTCCAACCCTCGGATTGCTACGGACATGCCAGTCTGATACAGCGTTACTTGTCGTGCGCCTCCGGGCGTGGTCTCGCAGCCCATTCCCAACAAAATGACTTCGGCCGTAGTAGATATTACGAGCAAGTGAGTGATACTGGGCAAAAACACTTTCGGGCGAGGCTTCGCTAGCTTGACGGTGATGATGCTGTTTGGTTGATCCTCGAATCCAACTAACTGCGGGTTAGGGTGAGTGTAATCCCAGATATAGAGAGCATTGTCGATTGCGACCCAGGCGTGATTCAACTCAGCAAATAGTCCCATGTTCGTCGATACCTGTGCTCTGTTGTATTGATCGAAGATCTGGTCGGGGATGTTGTACATCTTCACCTTCTGAAAAGGAGCCCATGGTGACGATGTGGGGAGATCATAGTCGGACGAGAATCCTTCTACACAGGAGGGTCAGTCGGGTCCCTGCCAGCGGTGCGACCACAGTGGTCAACTTACGAGACAGAGAGTTGTCCAAGTCTGGGTAACGAGATTCTTGGGCAAGGGTTTCATTAATAGTCCGCGCAGCACGCTGCTCCGTGCTCACTAGGCTCTGCTTGGGCTTTGTTTGGACCGCAGTGAAGTTGGGAAGCTGAATGGGGGACGGCGGATCGGTTGGGGCTGCGGCTTGTTGGGGGTTCGATGCCGACGCCGTCGCGCCAGCATTGGGCGCTGGTGTTTGGTAGAATGCGCCAGGGAGTGGCCTCTGAGGGGTGAGGGTTGGTAGAGATGGGTATGACATGATGCCGGCAGTAGACGGCGCCCGTATGAGGCGGTTTGGGCTATGTATGGCGCTCTCCCCGGAAAGGTGGCTGGGAGATTCGGAGACAGCAGCGCAATGACGCGACGAAAGGAAGACTCGGTCAAGGAAAGCAAAAGAGGTCGTGGAGAGATGATAGAGAGGGATGTTGCGATAAAAAGAAAAGGAACACCAATGGGGGAGCGCAGGGAGTGGTGTTCCGCCACAAGGATGGTGTGTTTAACCGGGTCGAAGAACAGGCATGAAGCTGTGGATTGAGCATGAGCAGGATGAGAAACAAAAATGTGCACGGGCCCCGGGCGGAGGGCGGACGGAGAGCTTCTCTTCCGCCTTGGAAAGATTATTATCAGGCTTGGATTTTCTACGGGTCCGACAGCGTCATTAGTTCCACTCTACTAGAACAACAAAAAATCAATTCGCATCTGCATTCGCATTCTATTACTTCCTGTCGTTGCGTAATTCCGAACATGTTCCCAGCTCTGCGATCCACCTCGTCCCGTCTGGGTTTGCGCCTGGTGCGCTGGAACTCGACCGACAGCCCGATCTTGCCGCCTTTGATGACCAAGCTCAGAACTGACCTCAAGACGGCTATGAGAGCCAAGGATACTCCTCGGTTTGTCTGATACGACCTACGGATTGAGACAAGACTTGATTGATTACGCGGACTAACGCGCGCTTCTCAGGCTGAACGTCGTCCGGGCTCTGATTTCCGAAACCAACAACGCCGCGAAGACCTCCTCTCCCATTCAAACCGATATCCAGCTCCTGTCTCTGATTCGGAAACGTATTGCTGCCTCCAAGGATGCCATTGAGGAGTTCAAGGTTGAGAACCGCCCAGAGCTTCAAGAGCTTGAGGAGAAGCAGGTGACAGTCTTGGAGGAATACGGTGCCCAGGTGGAAACCATGAGCGCGGACGACATCAAGCAAGTTGTCTCCCAGACGCTCTCCAGCATGAAGGAGGCTGGCAAGAAGGTCGAAATCGGCCTTGTTCTCAAGTCTCTCTTCGCTGCCGGTGGTGCGCTGGCGGACAAGCCGGCTGACAAGTCTGAAACTGCAAGAATTGTCAAGGACGCTGTCACTGCCTTCAAGAAGAACTAATACTGGCATGTATTTTACCTACCTGTACGATCACAAATAAAACCGGGGATACGATAATACTGACGTTAATACACCGAGAGAAAGGTGGGGGAGAAATGTCGTTTCTAGCAATATATGTATCAACAATAGGTATGTTAACAAGTGAAGATTTACGGCGAGTCTAGAATGCGATGTTTTGAATACTCGAGATGATAGAGTGCAGAAAATTCCGCAGATGATTAAGTGTTAGCATTGAAAAGGCCCATGCATATGCGCGGCGGCCGTGTAATATTCCAACAAAGAAGTCCTTCAGCGCCATTCCCTATGATCATTTGTGTCCATGATGTCCTGAGTCCCCTGTTATTACCTAGTAAGTCAATTCGAACTCCAGATTCCATCTTGATAACCTTGCCATTGTACCGTCCGTCCGAAAAAGAATCATGTCGATGTCATTGTAGTTTACGAGCAGAAAACGGTGATTCCACCTATGGCAGTCATAATAACACCGAGCCACAGCAAGCGATCGGGATCGATGACATTCTCCTTCGACAAAAGGCCCTCCAAGCTGAAGTATGACTTGGTGTCTCCGCTCATTTGGCGTTTTTGCTTCTTAGCCTTTGAGGTGATCGGATTCAGGACCCCTGTAGGTAGGATTTGCGGTGGCCTGTACACGAGGTACATGGGATGCATGGGCGATCCGTCATGAGCGTACAGGTCCAGGCGTGGGATATCATGATATGGGTCTACCGAGATAGTAAAGGACTGCAGCTTTTAGCTAACTTGCCTTGAATGTATCGACCAGGGAAACATACCTTGAACTCCTCTGTCTGGTTATATCTCGTGTAGGACGTCAAAGGTGTAGCACATGGATCTGATACCAGCTGGCGCCCATCAACCGCAATCGGGGTTAACACCAGCGAACCATCGCTCTGCGCAGTGTATGTACCGTGCTGCCATTGCATTAAACCCTTTGGGCAAGCTGGGTCTTGGGCTATTGGATTGTTTACACGTCAGATTGCGACTCTAACAAAGCAGAGAGTGAGCAGGCACTGACGATTGGCTATTGCGCGGTAGTAAGCCTCTTCATAGAATCCATCCTCGGTGAACGAGTATGAGATGCCGGTCAGGTTTGGCTCCAGAAATCTGTCGTTGATTGGATCATAGAATCCCTAGAGACAAGGCCGGGTGTTAGTCAGTTTGGCGATTCTGATGCGTCGACTGAGATCCCTAGTAAACAATGATTTGGATAGAACGAGAGGAGTACAGCATACCGGACCTGTCACAACCTTACGGGACTTTGTCGTCCAGGTCCCTACTAGATCAGATACACTGGCCGCACTGGCAGCCGTCAGGAGGAGGCTGCAAAGAAAGTAGCCCGCAATCATCGCGAGTTTTGGTCAAAAAGGAAAGATGAAGGTCAAGAAGAGAGGTGTTAGGTAGTAGAAGAATGCCTACCTTCCTGCCTGCCGCCAAAGGGCGCAGGCGACCCTTGAACGGGGGGCGGATGCGGTACAGTCAGGACCTTAGGTATGTGCAACAACCAGGGCCCTGCCGATCAACAACCATGCACATCATGGCAACATGCCAAGCCACGCGGTTCCAGTCATTGCGATATCTCAGACACTGCTCCAGACAATAAGCGGAACTTCCTATATTCATCATCCTATCTCAATTAGAATCCACTGGTAATCCGCCCACAACTATCTCCTGTCAATATTTGTCCCTATCCCTCGATCTCAAGGATGATGGCTGGTCTACAGGCGGCGAAGAAGGACCTCCGGCGGAGAATGCGGGATGCGCTGCACAAGATCCCCGCCGACTCCATCACAAATCAATGTCAGCTCCGCCTCATGACCTTCACACTCGGTCTATGCAAACGCTGACCTCTACCAGCCAGAGTCGCCGCCAACAGGCTGTTTGCTCTTCAGGAATACCAGGATGCGAGGAGGATAGGGGTTTATCTCTCCATGCCGGCAGGGGAATTATCCACCACGGCCATCGTTCGGGATGCTCTGGCAAGTGGTAAGGAGGTCTTCGTGCCCTACATACACAAGCTAGAGTTATCGGAACAGTCGAGGACCTCCGTTATGGACATGCTCAAGTTAGAGTCGATGGAAGAATTCGAGGCTCTCCAGCCCGACAAATGGGGGATTCCGTCGCTGCCCGAGGTCCAAGTACTCAGGAAGATGAATTGCTTTGGGGGCAAAGGAGTCTCGCCCCAGCCAGAAGACGCTACAAAAGGACCTTACGGGCTCGACTTGATTGTGATGCCAGGAATGGCATTTGATGAAGGGCTCAGGAGATTAGGGCATGGTAAAGGCTATTATGATCATTTTCTGACAAGGTATTCAAGAGAGGGGGCTGCAGGTGGGTCAACAAAGCCGAAGTTGCCCTTCCTTGGTAAGGAACAAGCACCCTGCCACCAACGCAACCAACCATGAAATAGCCTGTTACTAATTCTCGCGCAGTTGCCCTATCTCTCAAGGAGCAAATGCTTCCCCCGACCGAAGAGATACCGGTAGCGGATCATGACTGGCCTGTAGACATGCTCATCGTCGGTGATGACCGGTCTCTGGTGCGCCAACACTGATTTTCCGGGAAAGCGAGTCATATCGATCCATAGGTTCGTCTATTTTGCTAGAAATGCAATATTTGTTTCCCAGCGACATCCGTGAAAAGCGAAAGGTAAAGAAGTGCAAACAAAGTCGTATAACGGCACGAGATCGGTTAAAAAAAAACAAAATTCCCTTTTCCCTTCAATCAATCCCTTAACGCCCCGATAAGATCACTGGACGGCCTGGATGAGGGAGACATTGTCGCCCTTGAGGAGGATTTGGCCTGTTGTAAAGTGGAACAACAGTCAGCAACTTTCCGTAACACACAAGCAGTTTGATCTTGCTATACGACTTCACATACCGAGCGGCCTCCGCTTCTCTTCCTCGGTCTTGGTAGCCATCCGAACCTCCACTGCGTCGTCAACGACCAGGTTCATGAACTCGTCGAAACCCTGTGCCGAAATTGTTAGCCGAGCGATCACAGCCACCAGAAAACACGGGGCCAATTACCCGGATCTTTCCTTCTATCCGGAAAGCCAGCTGCTCGTAAAGCCAGATAGACACTGTCGACCGTTGCTGAAGAAGCTTGAAGATGAAATGAATAGGCGCAAGCAGCGTCTTGCGAGCAGCTCCACCGCCTCCACGACCGGTCATGGTGGGCAAACGAGATGCGCAAATGAAGGGAGGGGCTATGTAAAGTGTAAAAGAGAGCGCAAGGATACCAAGATCCTAAAAACTGCAGTGGTAAATAATGACGCGTTGATGGAGTTGCGCGGGGATCGGGGAGAGAGAATTGAAGGAAGAGCTCCGTAAGTTCAGGACGGTCGGACTCGGGGAAGTTCGACGGAGGGAGAGGGAGGCTCACACAGCTTTTCCGTTTGGGTCGATCGTCAGTGACCACTCACTACATCCCACCTCCACCACCACTAACTTACTACTAAGTCAATCTTCCCCTCCCTTCCTCTTCACTTTCCCCCCTCCTTCAAATCTTCCGCCATTTTAGTTGAGGATTTCTGCGCTTGTCTCTCGTCTTTGAACTTTTTCTTTTAATGTTATTTAATGAGTGTATATGATCGCACTGCATAGGTGTTAAGCCTTCCGGCCTGGCTGAACCCCTCTTTCTCCCAACTCCATTACACCAACTTCCTCCCCCTCTCTAGAACATCCCAAACCCCCGAGTTGACAAACGATGACGAGCAAGGAGGGAGCTACAGGGCAGGCCTTTGGCCCGGTCCTGGCCGCGGTCGCTACCATGCAAGGAAATGTGTCGCGCGCCGAAAAAACGCATGCCCATGAATTCTTAGAGAAATTTCAGAAATCGGTAGGTTATCCTACCCCTCATTCCGCCACCTTGAATTAAATTGATGCCGCCCATGATTCCGATGCTGACCATTTCTGGGCTTGTGTCTCTAGGTCGAAGCTTGGACTATCACCCATGAAATGTTACAATCTCCGGATGTTCCTGTCGAAGCCAAGTTGTTCGCAGCGACGACGTTGAAAGGAAAGGTGAATTGGTACTCCGACCTGGGTCCAGCCATTCCTGCCTGCTGACCCCAACAAGATCATCTTCGATCTCGATCAGTTGCCGACCGAATCTGTAGTCGCGCTCAGAGACTCTATCCTGAACCTGCTTGTGGGTTTCGCCGCGGGTCCTCGGCCAATCCAAACACAGCTATGCGTATGCTTGGCCAGTCTGGCTATTCAGATGCTTGCATGGAAGGACGTACTCCCTACCGTGGGCGCTGCACTGGGAAGTAGCGCTGGAGATTGCGTGCTGGAGTTCCTAAAGATTCTCCCGGAAGAAGTAACGGAAGGCCGCAAGATCAATCTGAGTGTATGTTTGGCACGAGAAACCCCCTTTCAAACTGTTACTCTGCGATCGCGTATCTCCCTGACCCTAACACCCTGTCATTACCTAGGAAGATGATCTCAACATGCGGACAAAAGAACTCCTGGAAGATAATGCTGAACAGGTGATGCACCTATTGATTCAATATGCTCAGTCATCACGTATGTACAATATCACCCTGATATGTTCATTTCTACCTTGCTGACCACAATCGCTTTTGTCATCACACAGCGACTGCCTCTACTAACCCGCGCCTCTTGGATTGTATCACTTCATGGATGCGCGAGATTCCGGCCGCCAAGATTGTGGAGTCGCCTTTGATGGACGTCATTTTGAAGGGACTTGATGACGACAGATCTTTCGAGGCTGCCGTAGACAGCATGTGCACACTGTATCGAGATACCCGTGAAGTCGACGATTCGCTTGCCATTATCCAAGCCTTGTATCCGCGCATAATTTCACTTCGCCCCAAAATCGCCGAGTTTGCCGAATCCGAGGATACCGATGCCTACAAAGGCATCACGAGACTTTTTGCAGAAGCCGGTGAAGCGTGGGTTGTGTTGATCGCACGTCTACCATCCGACTTCCGTGGTCTGGTCGAGGCAGTTTTGGAGTGTTGCGCTCGGGATTGGGAACGAGACGCAATTTCACTGACCTTCGTTTTCTGGTACGAACTAAAGCAGTACGTGACGCTGGATCGATACGCAGACGCCCGAGTGAATTTGAGCGACGTCTTCTCGCAGTTGGTGGATATCATGGTCAAGCACCTCGAATATCCTGGGCCCGAAGAAGGCGAGACGGATTTGTTTGGAGGTGATCGCGAGCAGGAGGAGAAATTCCGGCACTTCCGCCACTCGATGGGAGATGTACTCAAGGATTGCTGCGCTGTCATCGGGGTCACCGAGTGCTTGACTAAAGCATACCAGTTGATTCAGCAGTGGGTCTCCAAGTATGCGTCGCAGTCCAGTGATGAGCACGTCCCACACTGGCAAGAGCTCGAGGCACCACTGTTCAGTTTGAGGGCCATGGGACGCATGGTGGATCCTGAGGAAAGCGTCGTCCTAACTCAGGTTATTCCATTGATCGTGCAGATTCCCAACCAAGAGAAGGTGCGATTCCAGGCTATCATGGCACTTGCACGCTACACGGAGTGGACGGCACAGCACCCGGAGACTTTGGAGGCCCAACTAAACTACGTCATCTCTGGGTTCCAGCATAGCTCTCCCGAAGTGGTCCAGGCTGCGGCTTTGGCCTTCAAGTACCTGGGAACAGACTGTCAAAAGCTGCTTGGGGGTCACATTGCCCAGCTCCACACGTTCTATGAGTCCGTGATTGACAAGCTGAAGCCTGCGAGTCAAGAGGAGGTAACCGAGGGCGTGGCAGCAGTGGTTGCAGTCCAACCTCTGGAGAAGATCTATGACACCTTGAAATTGTTCTGTGACCCTATCATGGCTCGCATCATGAACCTAGCGAATAACGCTCAGGATGAAGAAAGCCAACGGGCTGTTGCTGGTAGGACCGATGGCATACATTCATTGAGGATGGCGCGCTGACTATATTATAGATCACATTGGGTTGATTACCATTTTCGTCATGGTCGTGAACCCATATGTCTCTCCCCGTGAAGAGAACCCCGCCGTGAAGTACTGTGGTGAGATCTTGCCCATCATGAGCACGATTGCGCTGAACTTCACATCATCCACACCAATCCTCGAACGAGTTTGCCGTTGCTGGCGCAACATGATCATCTCCTACCGAACTGCAATCGCTCCTCTACTGCCAACTTTGGCCCAGAGTCTTGCTAGTGGCTTCCAGGCGTCGCGTGAAGGATGTTTCTTGTGGGCCACTGATGCCGTCGTCCGCGAGTTCTCGGAGGGTGCTGAGTTTGTGGATGCGAACACAAGCCAGGCTGTCTTCCAGTTCTACGAACAGCAAGCAATTGCATTCTTGCGCATCCTCAATGATTTGCCTCCAGAGAACCTACCTGATGGTACGTGTCCATCATCATCAAGTGTCATTCGTGTGGCCTAGCTAATTTAATCGCAACTAGTCATCGAGGATTTTTACCGTCTTTCGTCGGATGCGATCCGCTTCTATCCCAAGGAATGCATAACATCTGAGCTTTCGGTTCCCATTTTCTCGGCGGCCCTAAGCGCCCTCACCCTTCAGCAGATTGACCCTCTGATTGCCACTCTTCATTATTATCATGATCTGTTCAGCTTTGCATTCGAGAAGCCAGCGGTTTCCGAGTTCACCACGTCTGATGGCAATGCATATTCGACGCCCGTCGAAGTTCGTGAGGCAGTCAAGCGGCTTATCGCATCCCAGGGTCAACTGCTTGTCCAGCGGATCCTTACAGGCATGATGTTCACCTTCCCTGGAGAGTGCTTCCCAGATGCCTCCGGTGTTTTGATGTCCATGTTTGAATTGATGCCTGAAGATGCGGGAACTTGGTTGCAGTCCACTTTGCAAATGCTTCCTGCGGGTACGATGAAGCAGGGCGAGGCTGAGCGTCTATTGAAGGGGCTGTTTGACAAGATCCAGTCGGGTGAGACCCGGAAGATTCGGGTCTTGCTTCAAGGTAAGATCAAATTTACCAGTGGATGATCGAGTCCCATTAGTTGACAAGTACAGACTTCACCAATTCTTACCGCCGCCGAAATGTGGCTCCCAGAGACGGTCTGGGCCGACTTGAGGCCACCCGATTCAGATTCAGTGGATAGATGTTCAAATCGGAGGAGCCACGGGACTGAGCAAGTCAGGTCACAGCACCGCTAAGGATGTTGGGAGTGGCGCACATCACCCACCGACGCTCGGCCTCTGGGTCGGGGCGGACATTGACACGAACACATTTCGCGTCCACGGCATCCATCTGAGAAGATTCAGAATGCAATTGTGCGTCGAGAATCCACTCAGACTGCCCATCATGTATTTTCTCACCCCAGCATCAGCATCGCCCATACACGGTTGCATCAGGTCGTTCTATAAGCATTCGAGGATGATTAGCGGCCACGACCCATCCGGGGGGGGGCAGCAAGCGGACAAAACAGCTTGCACGGTTACCCACTTTGTAAAAACGTGACACCATTAGTATTATAGCGTAGGAAACTTAGATATATTATAAGAACAATGATACGCCGGTTAGTTATAGCAGACCACGAAATCGACATAAAGTCTGGACATTGCCTGGCATGGGTCACTCGTCTGACCTACATAGTGTGTTGTGCAATGGGTATGATGGTCTTGTGATTGCGGCCATATCTCAACTGAAAATCCAGCAGAGTCTAGCGGACTCACATTAGTGACATTCTTATACATGGGTCTGGAACGCAGTTTGTTTTGATGAACGTTGCTTCGTCAACACTGTGGAGGCATACCAGGTGGAATTAAGAAGATTGTTGAGGCCGGAATATTTGTACCTTCATTGACTGCTATCGCCAGGGAACAATTTTTTGCTGCAAATGCACAAAAGGATGCTCAAAAGGCATATGAGTTAGATAAAAGCCTTGTATTTCAAGAACAGGTTGTGTAGTGTAGTGGTTATCACTTTGGATTTTGATACCAACCAAGTTCCAATAACCCCGGTTCGAACCCGGGCACGACCTTTCTTTTGTTGTTTTTTTCCCCTGCCAGTGCAGGCTGATATAGGAAAGCTCATCTCGCTTTCGACATAAAAGTATGAGGAGGATGCTTGAGTAGGGATCTGATCTATTTTTAACCGCCTTGTCATAGTTAAAAGATTATTCAGAAGGCTCCACGTATGTGTATATATGTAAGCTCACTGCGTCATTTACTGGCTAATAGA